AGTTCTCAAATGTAAGCAGGTAATTTATACCATTCTAAGCAGATATCAGCTTTTTGCTTATATATATATAAGTTATAGCAGCTTTTTGCTGCTTTCATTTACACAAAAGCTGATTCTTTGGGGCTTTTCTGTCAGCCATTGTTTATTTGATGGAATGAGGTTGATGAAAGAATTTCCCCAGCTTCCCTTTAGTGAGCATTGAAGGTGAATTGTTATTAGAAGAAAATTTTTGCATCCCTCTGAGTGATTTTTTGGATCTTGTTTGCTATTTCAGCACTTTACATTAGTTAGCATTTTTTATAAATATGAAATAGTACTATCTTGCATCAGATCATCCGTTTTGAATATGCTATAAATATACCGTGTCCCTTTAAAAAGTTTGTGTGAAAATGCCTCACTTAAATGAAGCTATGATTCTTTCTTTCTCATATGTGTTTTGTAGGTCAGAGCCATTATTTATTTCAATAGGTTAAAGAAATTTTAGTAAAGGGCATTTTTACAGATAATTTGCTGCCTAGGATACATCTAAATTATTGATAACTTAATTCGGTGTATTTTGTTCTTTGAACTTATTTTGTTGAAAGTTTAAGAAACAATCATATCTTTATTGATGGATGAATAATGGAAGTTACCTGCCCAAAATGTACTTTCTCTGCTTCTTCTTCCATAGAAGAAAACAATGTAAAAAAAAAATGTTCAACCAACCTAGAAATAAGGGGAAATTTCCTGACCGTTAGAACAATTAATCAGCAGAATGACTTGTCTCCAGAGATTGTGGGTGCTCCATCACTGGAGGTTTTCAAGAAGAAATTGGACTGGACATTTGTCTGAAATAGTGTAGGGCAGGGGTAGGCAACCTTGGCTCTTTTATGACTTGTGGACTTCAACTCCCAGAATTCCTGAGCCAGGCTGGCTCAGGAATTCTGGGAGTTGAAGTCCACGAGTCATAAAAGAGCCAAGGTTGCCTACCCCTGGTGTAGGGTCTCCTGCTTCAGCAGGGCATTGGGCTGAAGATCTCCAAGCCCCTTCCAACATTGTTATTCTGTTCTTTTTGTATTGTATCTACTACTACACCTAGTGATTGGATGATAAAACCTCTGGTTTCTGCTGTTCATTCCTATACTCTGGTTTCTGAATTCATTTTATTATTTTGTAATTTATCCAATATATACAAAACAATATGGACAAAATAGCAGACCTCAGTATGTGTATGTATGTATGTATGTATATAAGCACAAACGCAGGCGCGTTTGTGCTTATAAACGAGCTCCCCCACCCTCTGGCTTTTAGCACCCTGACGATGATGGCAGAAATACAGCCATCGAAAGCTAGGTTATCTATTTATTAAACATTTAATTGTTTTATCTCCTGGTTCTCGTCCTTATCTTTTGAATATATATGTATGTATGTATGTGTGTGTGTATATATTTGTTTTCTGAGGTTTGTATGTGTGTGTGTGTGTGTGTGTATATATATATATATATATATATATATACACACACACACACACACATACATACATACATACATACACATACTGGCATTTAGATATCCTACCTTTTCAGGATTCAGCAGAACTGTGTATCTAATTCATCCACTGAGTGATAAACACTGGTTAGAGGTTGACCTAATTTTGCTTGAACAATGTTGTATGAAGTAGTTAAATATAATTTTGTAGAACTGGCACAGTGGCACACAATCTTTACATGCCCTCCTCAAGTTCTTTTGCACTTTCTTATTTGTTGTAATGGGGTGCTCCTGAGAGAGATGAACCAAAAATGCTGGATTGTACACCAGGCGAATGTTTTCCCAACAGGGTCACTCAAGAGATGAAGGTCATTCCAGTTATCCAGCTAAAGGAAATAGGCACTTTTGCTGGGCAGCAATCATATAAGAACATGTCAGTGGAGGATGATCACTATAGTAACAGTGACCAAGATATCATTTCGTACTGCATAGAAGAATGGTAAACCACTCCTATACTTGATCAAGAAAACCACAAGGATAGATAGGATAAAGTGATTGATGATCAAAGCAGGATGATAGGGTCCTTTGACTGGAGGGCACTTAATATGCTATTGATGAATAGCTACGGATCCTTTGGGGTATTAATGGGGTTTATCATGTGGCTATGTTAAAGATTTTGGGATAACTTTGGGATAACAAGTTGCTGATGTTGTTGTGCAAGGAAAGAAAATCTGCAGTTGCAATAACTGAATTATAGTAGGAACATGGAACATAAGAACATGAAAAAGCTCAACACAATGAAAGGTGAAATGAAACAACTACTTGTTAACATATTAGACAAAAGTGAATTGAAATGATCTAAAAATGGACATTTTCAGTCAGATTATATTATTTACTATTTGGGACACAAAAAACAAAGGTGTGGCATTTCTTTCATCAGAAGGATATAACAAATACAATATTTGGATACAGTGCAATCAATGATCAGATAATTTCAAATTCGCTTCATTATGCTCCAACTACTGATGTAGAAGAAAAGAAATTTGACAAGTTTTATATGATCAAGTTCAGTTTGAAATATACGGAACAGGGGAAGTCAAAAACGTATTTGGATTGTTTGGCTTAAGAAATCAAAATGAGACAGAAAAATAACTTATCAATTTCTGCCAAACCAATTATCTTTTCATTGCTAACATAGTCTTCCAATAACCCAAACAGTGTCTATATACATGAATATTGCCAGATGGAGTATATGGAAATCAAATTTACTATATCATTAGATAAGGAGGCAGTAAAGACAAGGCCAGGAACGACTGTGCAACAAACTGTTCATGTGCAAGTGTCAAGTAAAGCGAAAGATGAAGAAGAAAAAACCCTTCCAGTTTCCACAACGCGATCTTGACCACATATACACCATTTTCTAGCAAACATCAGGAACTATTTTGAAATCACTTGTTGAGATGAGCAGCTGTAGAAATCGAATGTACATATGTACCCCCAGGATATTATCTACATATTTTTCTTTCATTTCCGTGTAGCATGATAAATATTGGCTCAGTTTATATATCAAATGGTGAAATATTTGTGGCTTATGAGCATTTCATATAATGCTGATTTTCAAGTTTTGCACCATATCCAAATACAGGGAACAATAGGGTGTGGGGCTATTTTGTGCAACCATTAAAATCACATGCTGAGAACAGATTATTGAAGGAGAAGCATAGTTTATCTCTATGCAGTCTCTTTATAAATTTGTTCCCTCTCTGTGGATATCTTACCCACGCATTTAATAAGTTGCAATATAATGTATCTTTGCCTGAAAAGCCACAGATATACACACAGATAACTACTTGCAACCTCAAACCAAATCATTTAGGACAGGCATGTCAAACTGCCGGCCCACGGGCCAGATGCATCACACCGGAACCATGCCCACCTTATTGCCAGCAATGGGGAAAAAGTCATGATACGTCATGCAACGTCACGTGACGTCGTGAGTTTGACATGCCTGATTTAGGACAAGCCCCTTCCCAACAGTGTGTTTACAAGCTATGAATCTACAGGTGCTTTTTATTCTGGATTGTCCAGAATAAGAACAATTGAGGACCTCATGGCAGCACGGCAGAACACAATTCATGTTGCTAGTTTCTGGGCAAGATCTGTTTAACTTGTACATATTTTAATATTGCATTTTATATTTTAAATTTTATCTTGTATACTCTGCCTTGTTTTAATTGTGATGTTTCTGACACAAATAAACAAACAATTATAGGAGGGTGAAGTAAAGAAGAAGAGCAAAATGCCACCTGATACTATCGCCCAACTATATCGCAGCCCATAGAGGTAGTCCTCAGCTTAAAATAGTTTGTCTAGTGACCGTTCACAGTTACAACAGCACTGAAAAAGTAACTTATGACCATTTTTCACACTTATGACCATTGCAGCATTCCCATGGTCATGTGGTGAAAATTCAGATGCTTGGCAACTGACTCATATTTATGATGGTTGCAGTGTCCTGGTGTCATGTAAATCGCCTTTTGTGACCTTCTGACAAGCAAAGTCAGTGGGGAAGCCAGATTCACTTAACCGGGTTGCTAACTTAACAACTGCAGTGATTTACTTAACAACTGTAGCAAGAAAGGTGATAAAATGAGACAAATGTCTCACTTAGCAACATAAATTTTGGGCTCAATTGTGGTCGTAAGTTGAGGACTACCTGTATGTATCTCATGGGTGATTGTAAGGAAGATCCTCTTGAGAGGGAATACAATGGAGCAGCAGGCAGGAGTCTATTCTTCATTTATTGTTCAGACTGATGCATACTTAAAGAACTGAGATATGCATGTCATATAAACAGTAAATGAAACTGAAAAATGTTGTTTGAATGCACAGCTTTTATCAGCTATTGGACTGGTTCTCGTTGTTTCTACATGTGGTAGTATTCAGATATTTCAGTAAAAAGCCAATGTAAATTCTTTCAACCATGAAACAGAACAGAAGCTGAACTCAAAGTATAAAAGAGAAACATATTTTACAAATCATATCTCTGAAATGTGGTTAATCCTTTTCAAATACCATAACTGAAAACAAGAGCCTGACAACAGCAACATTAAGTAAAACATCAAAATATTGTATTAATTGGTTTTGCCTCAGCAGATATACTTTAATTGTACACAGTCATGTTCCTGAAGTGAGCCAAAGATAATTTAGACTAAATTGCTTGTTAGAATGCTGTATTATCCACATGTAACCTATATATATATATATATATATATATATATATATATATATATATATATATATATATATATATATATATATATATATATCACTCAAGTGTTGCTAAAAAAAGAACATTATTTAAATATGATTGCTGCATCATAACTTCAAATAAACTAAACAAAATTTCACCATCTGTAACTTTAGTGCCTGTTATGTCCTTGAGGATTCATAGGAGAAGGAAAATATTGCAATGAAATTTGATCTCTTACTGTTGAAAAACCTGTTTATTATTTTTTTCTTTTACTTTCTAGCAATCCCCGGTTTTTGATGATTGCTCTGGCCTATGCAATACCACTGGGAGTTTTCTCAGGATGGTCTGGTGTTCTTGATTGGATATTAACTCCAGTTCACATCAGCCAAGTAGGTGCACTTTTATGTCTCTGTGGGTATGTCTGTGTCTGTATTTTTTTTAATGATTTGCTGACAAAAGATTGGTTTTGTGATTTAGAATTTAAATAACAAGCAGAATGACTGATGTTCTATGAAATTAAAAGTGGCATTGTAGAACCTGAGCTTAACTGAGCTGCTTCATATCTGAATATTTAACTTTGGGGAAAGCCTGAACCTTAATTTGTTGGCCTCCAGGAGAGAGATAGTAATTTCAAATTTCATTGCCAGTTCACAAATGTGAATTTGAAAAACCAAAGCTTTTCCATTACCATAAAGGCAAAGAACAAAAATAATTAGAGTGGCTTTATAATTCGTTTCCTTAGAGCAGGCATGTCAAACGGCTGGCCCATGAGCTGGATGCATCATACTGAAACCGCACCCACCCCATTGCTAGCAATGGGAAAAAAGTCGTGATACGTTGCGCAACATGTTGCAGGTTTGACATGCCTGCCTTAGAGGAATTCCACATAAAGTTTAGTCCAAGACCTTTCCATAAGCTATCCTCACATACAACTACTGTGTTTCCCCGAAAATAAGACCTATCCCGAAAATAAGCCCTAGCTTGATTTTTATGTTTGTGCCTAATATAAATCTTACCCCCAAAATAAACCCTAGTTAAAACTCCACCCACTCCATCCCACTGTGGTTGCATGGGGTAGGGCGGGGCACAAACGTAAAAATCAAGCTATGGGGGGTGGAGATACCCCATGAGCCCAGCACCCACTTGCCTCACGGCCCCTGCAGCCACGCTTTCCATGTCCTAACTCCTGCTTCGCCTTGTGGCTGCAACACCATGAGCAGCAGCCCCATCCAGCAGCAGTCTGCGTGGCCACCGGCCCACTTCTTCTGGTTGCTGGCAGCAGGATGCCATGTGTCACATAGTGCAGGACACCATGTGATGCGTCATGCCGATACTGCTGCACATGGTGGCAACACTGGAGTGACACACCACGTGGCGTCCTGCCAGCAATCAGAAGAAGTGGGGTGGCAGTGCAACAGATGTCAAGGCGTGGGAGGCCTGGCTACGGCAGTAAGGTAAGGAGGTGTGGGGCGTGTGGGATAGTTTGCCCCTCGCCTCATGGTGGCGCCACTGTCATGACACATCACATGGCATCCTGCAGGCGGCCACAGAAGAAGTGGGGTGGCAGCCTCACAGGCTCCTGCTGGATGGGGCTGTTGGTGCTGCCACTGTGAGATAAGGCAGATGTTGGGGAAAAAATAAGACATCCCCCCAAAATAAGACTTAGTGCCTCTTTTGATATATATATATATATATATATATATATATATATATATATATATATATATATATATATACACACACACATACATACACACACACACACACACACACAGACACACATGACCGCAGACACACATGACCGAGTCTTAATTTGGGGAAAACACAGTAAACTAGTTCTATTTACTTCAAGTTTTTAGAGAGATGTGAATAGAAAAATATTATATACTTCTCCAAAATCCCAACTAAATGTTCTCTTATCAATACCCTTCCTATGACTACAACCTCACTGCTTTTCAAACTTTATATAAGACCTAGTCTAACTCTGTCATGATTGGTCATCTTCTTTTTATCCTCAATTATTGTTTTAATGTAGTCACTTGATCAGACCAGTAACAGTGTTCCAAAAGCTCCCAGAAGTCTTCTGTGAGCTCAGTTTTAATAAGACCTGTTCTTGCTCTGCCTAATATCAGTCTTTCTGGTAGGTTAATGAGCAAAAGCAGTTCCATATTTATCCATGTTTTTCTTCTATGTATCTCACGCTCATCAGTAAAACTGTAATTGGGATGTCAGAAGAGGTTCTAATTGTAAGGTAATTCTTATTTAAGGATAGTTCAGCCTATTCCAATATTATGCCTTCCCATCAAGATATTTGGTAAATGCCAGAAGTTTCTGAGGCCTGCTATGTCAACATTGTGTCAACTGTACAACGAACCTGGCTGCATCCATCTTGCTTGTTCTAGGTTGCCACAAAGATGGGAGGGGATGCAGAGGATTTTTGCTAGTCTAAACAATTCAGTGTCCCATGGGAACCAAGGTCATTTCTGCCAGTTAGATTGGGAGGGGGAGCAGGTGGGTAGAAAGCCTACCAAACTAGTCTGTTGGGGAACGTAGCTGATTGCATAGCACTGGAGTGGGAAGTTTAACTTTGTTATAGTGTAACTCTTTGGAGGGAATTTCACACTTGGTTCACTTTTGACCTTGTCAGTACTATGTAACCAATAAACATATTCTTTGAAACCTCTCACCTCTGAGTTCTGATTCATTTCGTCTCATCTATCTTGTCACATTGGACCTTTTGAATTCAAGAACCTTCCCAAATGCATATTAGAGGAGAGCTTTGTAGAGAAGTTTTAATCAAGAACAGAATGAAGTATAGATTTCTATCTAATTGAGGTAGAAATCACGCAGAATTGCTTCAATCATGCTGTGTTTGTGCTTTTGTCTCAAGCTGGAGTAAATAGTAGTATTTTCAGGATATTAAAAATAAATAGCTGGATATCATAGATGGAATAAAGGAGAAAAAAATGGTATCTATTGAAATAGGCATTATTTTTAGAAAGTTAAAGAAGAAAAGTGGCAGAAAGATTTTTTAAAAATATCAACAGATCATATTCCTAATGTTTAATATTGAAACCGATTGGGAGTAGATCTAGAGGTGTCTGCAGGATCTGATGCTTTCATCAAATTGATGAAAACAGTCTGAAATGGAAGTTCTGCCCCTTTTGTAGGTTAATGCAATGTCACAATGCATATATGAAAGGAATTGACTCCTGTTTCCCCTTGTGGATGCCTCTGGTCAAACTGAAGTCAGCCAAAAAGAATACATCTCATAGACCAAGGGTGCTAACTTGTATTTGCTTTCTCAAGAGGGTTTTGAGAAAGCAGTCTTGAGGATCTTGAGAAAGAGCATCTGCATTCTTAGATGGCTTAAAAAGAGATTAAGCAGATTACGTAATTGATAATAAATCAGTCAATAGCCAAATAAAAACTTACTTTCAGAGCTGTACTCCAGAATACTTATATACAATAGCAAATATCAACCAAAAAGCAACACTGTATTTCTTTATCTTATTTTTTTTTCCAGGTGGATGCAGGTTGGATTGGATTTTGGTCCATTGTAGGCGGCTGTGTTGTTGGCATAGCACTAGCAAGGTAAGCTTTACTTTTTTCCTCTCTTATTTTTCTTTAGCGAAATTGTCTTTTTGTTATCCTAAAATAATACCCCCTGAAATCATTTCCTCTCTTCCATGACAATTGTAAAAAAAAAATCATTTTCTATAGGTTAGAAATATGTTCATCTTCTATCCAGAATAGTAATTTGTCCTTTTTTTAAAAGTCCATGAATGCTGAAAATCCCATTTGTTCAGTCATCAAACTAAGCAGGGTATATTATTGTGTTAGAAAAGTACTCTCGGTCCACTCCATCCAAAGGTGGAAGAATACTTAGATGAAGTAATGAAGGAACAATGGGTATTTTGCTCATATTTTGCTTTCATCTCTTCCATTATAGTTGTGATTGATTCTTTGGGGAAATTGGATATTATGGGGTTGGTTTGAATGTTATGGTGAATTATTTAAACATCTTGTGAGAGTCTTGCTGTATTTCCATTACTGTAAACCCCTGACTATATATGAGTTGTGAACTTCTGAATATCAAAGTGCTTAATACAAAAGATGTTTAGAAGTAGAGGATATTATAATGATTTGTTACAACTATCATTGGGTTCCCAAATTATATTAGCCATATAAATTGTTCAGCTTAATGAACTTTCATGCAGAAAGGAATTAATATATTTAATAGTCCAAATAATATATGATTATGATCAAATGATGAAATCATGGCTGAATAAAGCACATAAGATGTAAATGTCCTCGTGGAACTTTTTTCTGCATTTCAGAAGAATAAGCCAGCTATAAATGTTCATTTAACCATACTTTCTCTTTCCTTCCAAATCAGAAACTATGAATAATTATTCCAAGCTGGCAATGATCATAAGCCAGTTTTAAACTATGGTTTAAATTTAGCTTATTTTATTTGGAAACTATTGGTTGTAGTTCCTAATCTAGATATAATGGGAAGTGGTGATTAAATGTGGGTTTGCAGGCTCTCTTTCTTACCCAAAATGAAGAGTGAAATGACAAAAAAAAAAAGAAGCTTATATGTGATTCAGTGTCACTCATATAAATGTATAGCTTAGCTTACGGGTAGCCAACTGCAGCCTGCTTTTTGCTACATAATGCTCTTTATAAACATAAGAGCTGGAAGCTGGTTTTCCATCACACTTTAAAGTGTAAGTTTGAAAATGGGTATATCACAAAGAAAAAAATTAAAAACCCTCTCCTCTTTTTGACAAAAACAAGCCCTGCCTATACTAGTTAAAGTGGTCCTTCACATTTTATGGCTTCAGCTTCCCCTTTAATTTTATGTTCAAGGCCACACACACACACAAAATCATCCTCTACTTTTACATTCATTGTTTTAGAACTGAATATGATGAAACCTACAGAACTGTGAAATTTTCCAGATCAGTATTTTGTAGCATGATATATTTGTTGCACACAGAATTAATTTTAAGTTCTTTATAGTTTTTTGTATGTGTTTGTCTCTTTTTTTGAATGTGCCTTTCTTTTGAGATTATTTTCAGAAGTTTACCGAGAAACTATCTTTATAAAGGCCTAATTTTTAAGCATCAAAACTAAACTAAATTAAAATAAAAATAAGTGATAATGTTTGGTATGGTAGGTACGCTGACTTGAGTTGACAAAAAAATAAAGGCAGAATAAATCAAATAAATATCTTTTTAAGTATTTCATTTCCTTGTGCTTTTAATAACTAGTTGGTACCTTACATCTTCGTTTTGATTCTTGCTTTTTCATCCTTTTTCATCAGACTTTGATCAGATTTTTTTTCTTCAGATTGATAAACATTTAAAACTGTGATTCAGTATTTATTTTGTTATTGTTTTAGTTTACAGTTTTAAGCCACTTGCACATTCTTTTGTATTGGAACATGAAACAGGAATATTGTAAATATTGTAAATAAATTAAGTACAAACATGTGATTCCAATGAATGTATTTGATTCCAATGAATTGATTTGACGATGGCTGTTATATTGTTTACAGTGGCATAATTGTAAAGTGCCTCATTATATCATATGGCTAACATAATATTTCCTAGGCTATAATTCTTGTTATTCTGCATAATTTGCAAGACCGCCTACTACCTCATAGTTCCCTTCGTCCGGTTAGATCCCACAGGCTGGGCCTCCTTCAGGTCCCGTCGGCCAAGCAGTGCCATTTGGCAGGGCCCCGGGGGAGGGCTTTCTCTGTGATGGCGCCCACGTCTTGGAACCAGCTCCCCCCGGAGATTAGGACCACTCCCACCCTGTTGGTTTTCCGCAAGCTGCTTAAGACCTGGCTTTTCCGGCAGGCCTGGGGTTTATAAAATCTGATCCCTGGATGAATGTTATTGTATTGTTTGTTTTGTTAGTTATATTGTGTTTTTATTGTTAGCCGCCCAGAGTCCTGCGGAAGTGGGGCAGTCTATAAATTTTAATAAATAAACAAATAAATAAATAAATTATCCTTTATCAAGGCTTTTTTTTCTATCTATATGTCAACAAAACCCCTTTAAGATCTATGGTATGAAAAAACTCACACAATCTAATTTCATGTGAACCTGAGCTTAATTTCCAAAGCCTTCTTAAAGTTCACTTCAATTTCAAGAGCTATTTGTCCATTCTCTGGTGCCTTCTATATGTGAGAAAGAGAAGAGCTTGTTGGAAGAGAAAGAACTTTTAATAGTGAAAATGAGAAGTTAAAGAAAGATTTATATGCCTCTTCACCAGCTTAGCTCCTCTGTGTTAAAGAAAACAAGGTAGGGAAATTGTGCAGATCATGGTTTCTAGAATGCTTTCCAGACCTATTATCAGCACTGGCCATAGGAAGCACCTCTGTTTTCTTTTATGTAGCAAACTTAAATGTTTGTGTGTGGGAGAGAGGGAGAGAGTCCACTTTTCCTCCACTTTTCTGTGCATATGTGCTCCTTTCAGTGCGCAGGGTGAGTCCTTATGCACCACTCTGTGTCAGAGACCAGAAGAAGGAAGGGAGAAGAACATTGCATTGAACAGCCAGCAATAATCAGAGATGATCCCAACAACTATCCTGCTAACACGTCTAGGAAGGACTTCTGGATTGTTTTTCTCTTCAGCCCCAAGCTGAATATGACTCATTTTCAGACTTAGTCTTTTTTTTTGCTAGCTTTTTCTAGCCTCACCAAGTTTGGTCCCATTGAGTTGTTTTTTTCGAAGAGTTGTCCTGTTGATGGATAGCTAGAGGGAGTTCTGAATTCCTTTATATAATTTTCTTTCATTTTTCCATTGGGCTTGAAGGAATAACAGTGGCATTTTCAAAAAGGAGGCACTGCTTGCTTCAGTCGCAGCCTCTGTTGGCCTAAAGCCTTGAATAAATTAGCCATGCTTGAAAAATGGTTGCTTTCGACATGTTTTTAAAATCTGTTTAAATGCATTTGCCTGTATTAAAATTAAAAGCATTATCGTGTTCACTCCTGGTGCTATATACTGTAGCAATAATTGCAGCATAGGGTTTTTTAGAGGTTTTATGTTTATGGTTGGTTGGGAGTTGCTAGTCTTAGTTTATGAATTAATAATCTTACTGAAGTAATCAAAATACATTACAGCTAAATAGAGAAACATAAACATGATGTCAGATTTGGTGGTAAAGTGTAAACTTCCCAGATGTGCAGAAAAACTGCACAATTGCCATACCCTATTTTTTTAAAGGGGGCCTTATTCCAACAGTACTATGTTGTCTGTATGTAGGTGTGAATTTACTATAAAAAATTAAACAGGGAAGGAGATGCAAGATTGCTAGGATTAGTTGTAACTTCATAGTTTTTTCTTTGCTGAAATAAGGTATATCTGACAAAATATTTGAAGATTTTCATTTTACAGGCTATCTATTTCATTGTTCTGTACAGATTATATTCATTTTAATGCCTCACTATCAGTGGCTTCTGTTTTTGCGGGGGTTTTCAAGATGTAACCCCTGTGGATAACAAGGATTGAGTGTACCGTACACTGAGTCTCAATCCTTCATGCTTTTCCTCCTTCACATACAAGGACAACCGGAATTTTAAAGCATCTGATTATGGTTTTAACAACTTGCAGATATCTTTAAACCGTGGGGTCAAGATAATCCATATCATTGAAAGTGTAGGATCATTCTTCTATCAAAATAAAACTAATATAGTTGGCTGTTGGATATAACTAACAGAGTTGGATGGTGTACTTTAAAAAAAAAGTTTCCTTATTTTTTTTCTTTCAATGTTAAGGTTGCAGTGCTATACTTGAACGTATAAATATCTAAAAAATAGAGTTGCTTATTTAGACTTGCTAAATGAGATATCTGGTTGTTAGAGATCACAGCTCTTTGATAAAACGTTCTCAAGGAAATGGAAGTAAAGGCAGAGAATTACAACTATAAATATGTTGAGCCTCTTATCGCTTTAAGTCAGCAAAGTTTTCTATCACATTGATTTTTCTTCTACCCCGTTACGGGTTCTTTTATACAAAGGATAGTTCTTTCTCTTGCTGGTATATTGTAACGGGTGGCCATTCTTTTTTAGCTTTATAATGATTCCTCTGCAGGTTTGCCAATGGAGTTTTATGTAAATTTTGACCTTTTGAGATAAATTAATTACTCAAACATGTAGCTCAATTTTAGTAGCAGACTATCCTTTTAATGTCTTTTTATCTGCTAACAAATGGTTTCCAGTTCTGTAGCAATGCATACATTTTTGTTGACTCCAGCACTTCAAACTTTTTGTGCTTTTAATAAAAAGCTAACAGCCTCTTGCCAAATGCCTCTTTCTGACTGAAAAAAATTACAAAACCTTCAAGCATAGAATTTTGAATGCAAAAAGAGTAGCGATTTATCTCTCTTGATGAATAAGTCCCTTTCCTTAGACCTATTCAGCAATTTATCTGTATAAAATTAAATCGGTGTCTTTCCTGACTATCATCTGCTGAAAGTTGTAATTAGGAAAATTAGGTAATGATTTTTGTCAGGTCCGACAGGCTCATGGATTTCTGTGATGGTCCTGTGACTTGAAGGCATCTTGGTATATTTT